CCCCAAAACCCCAAAACCCCAAAACCCCAAAACCCCAAAACCCCTTATATCAAATTGTCTGTTGAATTATAAATTATGAGGTAGATAAAATTTTATTGCTATTAAAATGTGTTGCCGTGCTCTAGAATACTATGACTACTAGTAACCTAATCCTGATTTAGGGCTTACAACGAATTATTTGGAGTGTCTGGACCAGATTTAGCCCACCAGCTCAGCTTTGTTGTTAGGAGAGGGTTAGCTCTGATATTTTAGTTGAAAATAACGAAGAATTTTGGAAAAATAGGTAGATAGAAGAAATTTCACCGAATCTCCAGAAATGTTTGAAATTTAAAAAATTGTTTGGATTCTATTCAAATTTTAGGGATATGGTAGAGTTATAAAGAACAAACTGGAGTTATTATACCAATACAACCTGCATAATTAAGCTAACTTATGACTAATATCCAGGGATCATTCTTAACCTGTCAGGTAAAAACTTCCGGATGGATTCATGGATTTTCAATTATACATTACTGTTGCATGAATCAAAGCAGAGAAGTTAACAAAGCAATATCAGGTACAAATCTTATCTTGAGGGCAATCAAAGAAGCTACCTTAGACTCTCTAAAATCGGCCAGCAAAGAGCGTATAAAGATTCTTTCTCCATATGATATTTCCTCATCAAGCAATATATTATAAAAACAGGGAATCACTACTTAGTTTCTAGATGAATTCTAACATAAACCTTAAAATACTAATTTTACAAATAGCAAAGTATTATTACACTATCATACATTAAGGAGGAGACACATCTCCAATGGTAAGCTGGAGGGCGAAGTACTCCTTATCATGCTTAGACACCTTCATTGATTGGTGCTTGGCCATTCTTTCTGCAATAGAAACATCCTTCTTACTCTTTTTGGCCTCTTCTCCACTGCTGACTGTGTTATTAGATAATTTGGTTCCTCAAGGAGCCATGATGGAGACAGAACGCTTATTCAGCTTCTTTCTCACAGATTTCCGACCAACCTTCTTGTATTTCTTAAAAGAAGAAGTCTTCGTCTTCTTCTTGCCAACAAACACAGGAGGAAGGGGCAATACAGGAATCACTTTTTCATTGAAAAATAATTTACAACGATATTTTACTGGAGAAACAGATTTATTTGTAGATTCCACTTTAAGATCATGAAGGAACTCAGTCCGATTTTCCTTCCTCAACCTTCCTTTATTCGACGACAATAAACTCCCATGTCATACCTTAGAATTCCCTATTTTCTTAGTCACCATAGGAGTCTCATCAGGTACATCACAATCTTCAAACTCCTCAAACTTATCTTTCTCAGCCTAAATCTCTACATCACTCATTCATCTCTTGTAACCCCACTAAGCCCCAATTTCTCAACACCCCACTCACCCACTTAAATTCCTCACTCGGCTGCATTTCCCTTCTGAAATATTTTTATATAATCACTCAACCTCTCCTTAACAATTTGGGGTTTTGGGGTTTTGGGGTTTTGGGGTTTTGGGG